TATATTCCTTCAATCAACAGGTGAAGAAATTTCCTCTTACTCCCAAATTGAATGTGTGCTCACCACCCTCACTTAACACTTAAGTGAAATCTTCCATTATCTTGGTATTGTATTATGTCAATAGCATTAAAATAGTCTTTCCTGCCAGCAGTTTTTTCTAACTCCTGCTTGTTGGTAAAATAAATATCTGGATTGCGGGCTTGATCCCCAGTGGGGGTTGTGCGGGAGGCAGCCGATCGATGATTCTCTCTCATCATTGATGTTTCTATCTCTCTCTCCTTCTCCCTTTCTCTCTGAAATAAATAAAGAAATATATTAAATAAATAAATAAATAAATAAATATCTGAAGTCATTCTGGGTTTTATTACTGCCTTTGTCTAGCCAGTATTCTTAAGTCCAAGTTATTTAACAAGACACATAAGCCCAGCCTAGCCGTTGTGGCTCAGCGGTTGAGCATCGACCCAAGAACCAAGAGGTCACCAGTTTGATTCCTGATCAGGGCACATGCCTGGGTTGCAGGCTCCATCCTCAGTATGGGCATGCAGGCGGTAGCCAATCGATGATGCTTCTCTCTCATCAATGTTTCTATCTTTCTCCCTTCCTCTCTCTCTAAAATATATAAAATAAAATAAAAAGACACACAATCCTTTGTCACATATTAAATGGGCCTTAAAGTCAAGTAGACTAGAGATAATTGGTGGGCCAGTCCCACCAAGAAAATCTCTTTTTTGAGGCAAGTTTCATCCCAGCCAATGGTATTGCTTAAGCTTTCCTGAGATGTAATCTTGGATTTGCAAAACCTTTCTACACCTGTTCAAAAAATAATTAATTGCTTCTCTTTCGGCTGTTTCTGTGGAAGACATGAATACTTTCTAACATAACAGTCCAGTCCCCATCCACCAGAACTGGTTATCCTATGGTCTGTCTGCAAAACTATCTCTTTTCCTCTTAGAACAAAACCACCATTTTGATTAAAAAAAAAAAAAAAATCCCTGATCCAGCACCACTTGAACAAGTCCAATTTTTTCTGAGTTGGGTAAACTGTGGCTTAATGCTATGTTTGAGCTCACAGATGCTATTTTTGTTCTTGGACAAGGTAATCCAAACTAGGATGACTCACTCACTGTGTTCACATGCATTTTCACAAATACTAACATGGATTAATGCATCAACTCCCACTTGGCATGAGTTTACAATTCATTAAGAGCAATTGCAAACTAGATTGTGACAGATCTGTCTATGCAGAAGAACACCATGCTCTTTCTATCTTCTGGAATATGTATTACTAGACAGGCCAAGGAAATACCACATAAAGTGGCAGTGTATTTCTGCTTATTGTTAATTTGTCATATTTATTAGAGATGCCTTAAGAACTACCTCTAAATCCTCTTTTTATAACATGTTTGACCAACAGTTTTGAGCACTATTAGGTGTGAATTCAGTTTTCTCAGAGGCAACGACTGTTTCATGTATTAAAATGATCTGCAGATTTTGTACAATATTGAATAACAGAAATTTGGTGAAAGTTTTTAACAATACTTTTTGTTATACAAACCTTATAGAGGTACAGTTATATGTATAATTACTAGAGGCCTGATGCATGAAATTCGTGCAAGGGCCTTGGCCCCAGCCCCCACCCACCACCACCACCACCACTGCCACAGCCGGGGGCCTCTGCCGTGGCCCCTGCCCACTGTGGCTTTGTCCGGAAGGAAGAACATCTGGCAGGACGTCCAGTCTAATTAGCATATTACCCTTTTATTATTATAGATATTTAAGGATCATGTAACCTTGAGATATAATTTTATACTTTTGTAGACATTCCAGATGGTAGAATACATAAAATACTTTAAATAATTTTTTAACCATGATATAAACAGTTTTTGCTGGCATTCCAGAAATCCACATATTCTATTAGCATATGCCTCCTTGTCATATTTTAACAGTCCCTAATAATAACCAAAATAGTTATCACATAAATAGCATTCATGAGCTGAGCCAAACTATAATGTGGAGAGAAATTATGGTGTGGTGACAGAGGATTGAAAAAGTGTCAAGACGTTTTGTTCTAGCCTTGGCTTTCATACTGTGTGGCCTTTTTGAACCTCCATTTTATCATCTTTCTGAGCCTCTATTTTCCTATCTCTTGGATGAGATGTGTCACTACCAGAATTTTGAAAGCAGAATCTAGGAAAAATGCCTACATGCAAAGTGTATTTGGGAAATGATCGCAGAGAGCAGAAATGAAGGACAAGAGTAACGAAACAGAAAAGGAGAAGAAGTCAATAGAATGATCTGTATGGTGTCCAGTTGGCCACTATTTTGAGCTACTGGTGCTCAGAACCTTCTGGAAGCTTCATGACATGAGCAGTGTTAGAGCAGTCCACTCAGGGACAAAAGGCGGGAGGAAGAATGTATTCATCAACTCAGGGCCCTATCAGTCAGGCATGGTTGTACTATTGCATGCGTTCGGCTCAGGGTCCCACAGATGTCCACCCAGAGATGTCAGAGAAGCCTTGGTCAGGAAATGAGAGGTGTGTATGGAAGCCTGAAACAAAGTGATCTCAGGTTGCACTGAAGGGAAGGAGTTCAGAGCCTGCACAGAAGTGTTCCCCTTAGCAGTTACTGGAGTAAAGGAGAAGCCAGGTGCATTTGAAATGGGACAGAACAGGTGCATGATACAAGACAGTGGATCAACATGCTCTCAAAAAACTTCCAGCTCTAATATTATTTAATATTAATAACTACCATATATATGGTTTCTACTAATGGATCCCTCTGTTTGTATTGCTATCTAATTTTGGTTGCACAAAAACCTCATAAGTAGACATGGTTATTTCCATTTTGTAGATGAAGAAATTAAGTATAGAAAGGTGAAGTCATTTTCCTGTCAGGGTTCCTCAATCTTCATATTTTTGAAACTTAGGGTCAGATTCTCTTTTGGGAATAGGGGAGGCTGTCCTGTACACTGTAGGGTGTGTAACAGCATCTTTGGCTTCTACTCACTAGGTGAATACACCTCTAGTCATGAGAGTCAAATATGTTTGCTAAGTGTCCCCTTTGGCAGGCAAAGTCACCACTGATTAAGAAGTATTGACTTCTAAAGTCACAAGTGCAATAAGTAGCATAAGTGCAATTTTACTCCAAAAGTCATTAGAAGCACAGAAGTGTCTTTTTAATGGTCTCAGATTACCCAGCCATCTGTTTTAAGTGAATCAAAGCTTTATAAAAATCAAATGATTAAGAACTAATTAGTTCTTAAAGATTATGTTGCAAAATAAATGCAAAGGTGAAGATACAGAGTTCAGAATAAGAATCCTAAAGACAAACATAGACATCCCAGAATACTCCTGACAACATTAGAAATGAGTGGAGTCCAATACAGTGTATAGTGTTCAGACTAGATCAGAATTACTCCCTAGGAAACCCTAGTAACCAATTCATATCAGCTTGGTAATCAAAAGGAAATAGAGGAGAGGTCAAACCCATTATTATACATTATATATACACATATGTACAAAATGAGTTGTTAAATAAGTAAATAATCAGTAGTTTATGCTTTCTCCTTCCTAGGCCAGTAGCCAACATTATGTTTTTAAGATCTTAGTCAATCCTTACTGCCTCACCTATAGCAGAAAGTAAAGTGCGTTTCTGTTTCAAAGTCTCTTCTGGGAATGTGCAAAGTGGTCCAGAGAAAAGGAGATGGAGGCTGGTGGTATTGAAAAAAGAGTATAATCATTTATTCAACAAATAAAAAAGCACCTGCTCTTTTTTATGATGTCACTCTTTTTTTTTTTCCTTAAAAAAAAAAAGGAAAAACTGAGTGACTGGAGGAAAATGGCAGTGGATTAAGTGGAAGCTATGCTGACATTTTCCCAGGACCAAACTGGAATTACAACAAAAATATAGAAAAATCATCCTGAAAAACCAACTGAAGACTAGCTGGAGAGAACCCTTATAACCAAGGACATACAGAGACCTCATCGAAGAGGAAGAGCAGAGGAGCCACACTTCAAAGGCAGCAGCTGAAGCTCCAGAGGATTATCTCAATTGCGGGAGGTTCCCCCTGAGAAGTCTGGGATCTAAACCCCAAACCTGGAGGGCTCCCCAGCCCAAAGCACCAGAACTTAGAAAGGTGCCTACATCACATCTGGCTGTGAAAAGCACCAGGGGTTCTGTCCAGCAGGGACAGACAGCTAGATATGCAGACACCCTCTTATGGAGCCAACGCACGAGATTTTGTTTGCAGCCACTTACCTTGGGCTCCAGCAGTGGGAGGACAGAGTGGACTAGAGCTGGGTGAGGAGAGTCTGGGGTGGGCAGCTTGGTGGGGAGAGAACACAGAGGACCACCTTGTGGACCCATGTGCTGAGTCATTCCTCCCTCCATACACGAGAAACCATCTTTTTCAGGCCCAGCTTCCCCATTCATGCAATTTTTGCCTGGGGGGAAGAAATTGCCCCACCCCTTGGAAACCCTTTTTCCCCACCCTGTGAGGTAAACACTCCATTGAGCTCTACAGCCTGGGGCTCATGAAGTGATTGAGACTAACAATCAGCCTGCAGGCAGAGGCAGATCTCTTATTGTTTTGAGTTTTTGTCTGACCTGCCTCTGGGCCCTGAGCAAGAAAAAACAGACCTTGGTGCACAATTTGGTCCTTCCCATTTGCTTCTAGCTAGCAGAGGGAGCTACAAGCAATGGGTTGCTGATAGCTCTAAACAGGGCCAGTCACAAACAGCACCTGACATTGGCCTGTACCAGAGACACTCCAAAGAGGCTCAAAACCAATAAACCCAATGGCCAGCTTCAAACAACAGAGCAGGATCCAATAAGCTCCAGAAGTAGTATATACACAGGCTCCAAAATTTGCGAGAATTCCACTTTGTGTGATAAGTAACTGCACAGCAGACTGCACACTGTGTTGGGGGTTGAGTTTCACTGGGATGAGCCCACAAAAGAACAGCCAATAGCAATTGTCTTACCGATCTGCAATCTGCGGGATGCTGATTTTCATGAAAACCCTCACTCTCAAGGTTGAACCCTCTGATACGATAGAAAATATACTAGTAAAAGCCAAGATCCAGGATAAGGAAGGAATTCCTCCTGATCAGCAAAGACTGATCTTTGCTGGCAAGCAATTGGAAGACGGACATACTTTGTCTGACTACAACATTCAAAAGGAGTCCACTCTTCATCTTGTGTTGAGACTTCATGGTGGTGCTAAGAAAAGATAGAAGCAGTCTTACACCGCTCCCAAGAAGAATAAGCATAAGAGAAAGAAGGTGAAGCTGGCTGTCCTGAAATACCACAAAGTGGATGAGAATGGCAAAATCAGTCGCCTTCTTCGGGAGTGCCCTCAGATGAATGTGGTGCTGGAGTGTTTATGGCCAGCCACCTTGACAGACATTATTGTGGCAAATGTTTCAACAAACCAGAAGACAAGTAATTGTATTTGGGTTAGTAAAAGACATGAACTAACATTTAATTGTTTAATTTTATTTTGGTGAACATTTTTTAAGCATCAAAAGTTGATGAATCAAATTGATAAACTATACTTCGGCAGAAGAATTCCATTATATTTAATATCAGCTGTCTAGATAATAAACCAGTTTGTGTTTCTGACAAAAAACCCCAAAAGACTCAATTGTAACGGGAGGGCACACACGAAGTGCACAAGGATAATTATTAGACCTAGGTCTGGCGATCAGGGAGACTGCACCACTGGATCCCACAGGTCATCCACTGCATGACACCCACCAAGGCTGGGAGTCATAGCAGATCTACCTAATACATAGAAACAAACCCAAAGAGTCAGCCAAAAGAAACAAGCCCCAAGTGAAAGAACTATAATACTTTCAACAATAAAGATAAATTTAAAATAAAATAAAACTTTTAAAAAAGGAAAAACTTTATTTAAAATAACATGTTTAGAGCAAAACATGTTATTTTAAATAAAGTGACGTTCAAAAGTGCTATATTCAACAGTGTGAATGTACTTAATGCCACTGAACTGTATACCTAAAAATTGTTAAAATGGTAAATTGGTATTATGTAATAAAATTTGTATACTGTAATAAAAACAGCTGTATCATTTTTAAAAATTATTTATAATAAAAGAACTGCCATTGGACCTGACATAGTACATTATACATGTGAAAATAGATTGACCCAAACATATAATGTTTGAATTATGAATTAATAAAGTGTTCTGAAAAATAAATATTCAAAACATGTAATAGACTTAAAAACATAAAGGTAAATATTTTTCAGCCCATCCTTTGTAGGTAAGATCCCTTAAACAGGAAACTCTATTAGTATATTTTCATATAACCCTAAAAGGGGTGAAAAAGCTCCTTTTTAAAATATTAATAATAACAGATATTAGTAATTATATGCTTGCTGTATACCAGGAGCTGAGCTAGACATTTCATGGATATTATCTTTAATTTTAGTCCCATGAAAATAGAATGATCTCTACTCCATTCCTCAAGTCCCCAAATTACAAACCTTAACGCTACTGAAACATCTTTTTTCTTTCCGAGATGGGAAAAATAGGTCACATCCATAGGATTGTGTTCATAAACGACTTTAGAAAGTCCAAATAACCATTGTTATGGTTCATTCTTTTTTTTTTTAATATATTTTATTGGTTTTTTACAGAGAGGAAGGGAGAGGGATAGAGAGCCAGAAACATCAATGAGAGAGAAACATCGATCAGCTGCCTCCTGCACACTCCCCACTGGGGATGTGCCCTCAACCAAGGTACATGCCCTTGACCTGAATCAAATCTGGGACCCTTGAGTCCACAGGCCGACACTCTATCCACTGAGCCAAACCGGTTAGGGCTGGTTCATTCTTTATTATTGATACAGAATGTGAGTAAATTTAATAGAGTTTCTCATAAGTTAAACAGGTCCAAACCATTCAATGGATAGGTTCCTTTAAAACAGCGGTTTTCAACCTGTGGGTTTTTACCCCTTTGGGGGTCGAAAGACCCTTCCACAGGGGTCGCCTAAGACCATTGGAAAACACATATATAATTACATATTGTTTTTGTGATTAATCACTATGCTTTAATTATGTTCAATTTGTAACAATGAAATTGGGGGTCACCACAACATGAGGAACTGTATTAAAGGGTCGCGGCATTAGGAAGGTTGAGAACCACTGCTTTAAAAGGATGTTTGCTATATAGAAAGAATTATGAGTCACTAGATTTTTTTCCCATTTTGCTTAACTAAATAAGATTAAACAGGTAATATTACCTCAGAGGTCTACATACTTAATGTACTGACTATAATATAACTTTTTATTTAGTGTAATATAAGGTTCTGCTTTTCTTCTCGAGCTTACTGTTACACATTCAAAAGCTTGCTATTTTAAACTGAAGTAACACCAAGATTTATTCTAAGGTTGAATAAAAGCAAGTATTTTTTGAAGTGGCTTTTCATTGTCTGAATATTTTTATTCTGATCGGAACACATTCAACTTTTACATTTTAAGAACAAGGATAAAAAGAACAAAATGGAGAGGAGAATGGGTTTCCATTCAAAATGTATTCCACCAGCCCCCAATGCAACCTCTGCAAACCTGGCTACGGAGACACAAAAACTTAAAAGCTAAAATGTTACCTTCCTCCTATCCTCCAATTTTCCAATTCCAGAAACAAAAACTCACAGAACTAGACAGGAAGGGGGAGGTGATGTTTCTGTGTGTGTTTGTACGTTAAGGAAGAAGGTCCTGGGGGGAGGGGTCCTTGAGTAATGACACTAGCAGGAACAAGTTTTGCATTGGGAGAGATGTAATATTTCCCAAAATTTTTATAAAGAAAGATCAAAGATCAAAAAGACATAGCTATTATGAGCAGGTACAGAAATTTATTCATTCACTCATTCAAATAATATAGCATGGGTACTTAGTAGGGGCAGGTACTATTCAAGGCACTTGGGATATATTGGGGGCGGGGGGGGGGGGGGCGGTAAAGAATCCTACCTCCAAGGACTTGCATTCTTGTAAGTCATAAATTATATAGTGTGTGAAAAACTGAAGAGTTCTGTGAGAAGAATAAGAAATTAGAGCAGGATAATGAAGTTAGAAACTACATGGTAGGGCATGGAAATTAATAAATAGAGCTGAATTTGAGATGGTTTTTAGTGTGTCTCAGAATTTTGGCTTGTAATAGGATAATCAGACTTACTTTGTTAATCCATTTAGTCTTCCTTCTGTCATTATACACTTTCTGTTTTTTGTGTTTTCTTGCTGCTTCCTTTTTTCCTTAGTTTTTGCTAAGCAGCCCATTTTATTTCTCTGTCTAGTGTTTTCAAAAATATTATTCTACTGATGGTTGTTCTTAAATTATGTATATCTGACATTTCTTTTCCAATCTCAAGTAAGCTCCTTGAGGCAAGGACTTCTGTATTCTATCACTGAGCCTAACACAACAGTAGGAGTATTAAAATACATTTATTCTATGAGTGAATAACTTAATAGTAGGTATTAACTAAATGATCACAATTCTGCTCTTGGGCCAAAGATAAACTCTGGAGGTGGAAATAGAAAGTGAATGCAGAGAAAGGTGGGAAAGAATGCTATGGAGGAGATTGCCTCTATCCCAATCCTGACCAACTTTGTGATTTTGAAAAACTCACCCATCCTCTTTGCACCTCTATTTTTTTTTCACTTGAAAAATAAGGGAAATGAATTAAAACAATGATCCATTACCTTTCTTTTCTAACATTATGGGAGTTTTATTTGGAAGTGAACTTTAAACTATTAATACAAATGTCAAGATACTACACAAAGCATCCACAGAAATTTTCTCATCCTTTTTAAAAAATTTACACAAACATTTCCTACATAATCCAACACACAACAACAACAAAAATGGTACATCTTTTTTTTTCAATTTGCATACAATAGAAAAACATATATGTGTGAGAAATTATCTAGTAATAAATAATCAGAATTTTTTTTTTAGTATCAGTCACTTCCATAACCAAATATTATTCTGATCAATCAAAATTGCTATCAGACTTCTGCTATATACTTATACCATTACTTAATTTTTAGTACTGCTCCACACCTTAGTTCTTCACAATTACTAACAGAAAACTATTGCAAAGTAGGTACAAGCATTTGCAAAAACAAACAAAATCCCCAGCTTAAAGCATGAATGAGTATGATGGAATTTCTTCCCAACCAATGGACTTTCAAACCATCAAATACCCAGAACCACCCTGGCCTTTGGCTGTGTGGCTTAGTTGGTTGGGGTTCATCCCATGCATCAAAAGGTTGCTGGTTTGATTCTTGGTCAAGACACCTGCCTGTGTTGCAGGCTTGATCCCTGGCAGGGGTTGTGCAGAAGGCAGCTGATGAATGTTTCTCCCTTTCTCTCCCTCTCTCTCTAAAAATCAATAAAAAAAAAACTTTTTAAAAAATCACTAGAACTGAACTAAATTTGCCAAGATGGTTTTGCCTAAGTCAAGGAAGAGATACATTTATTTTCAACAGAGGAGCTGAAATTAAAAGCCAGTATTAAGTTTAAGACAGGTTGGGGGATTCAGCCATTTGAAAAATAACCATATTTTTAAAAAATGACCACTAAAAATAAGTTCACTAAATTTATTTTTTAAATCATAAAACATTTCTTACAAAAGATCATTAAATTGTTCACACTGCTCTGAAGAGATGCCAGGGACATGTGGACTATTGTTACTTTTCCTCCCTGTCCCAACCCCCCAAAATGTTGAAGTGACCACAAAGCAAAGTGTTCACAATAATTACATAGGGGAGATTTTCCTTTTTAATCACCAGCAGTGAACAAATATTAAAATTCACTCATTCTGTTGCTGTTTCAAAATTTCAGTGTTAGTTTTTGCACACACACACACACACACCTGTTTGTAAGGAACGAAAACATTACATCTAGTAAACAGCAAAGATTCCACTACACTTCAAATGCAGAACACCTATGAAGCAGAGGCATGCTGGCTTTTTAAACAGAAGCAAATAAGGTTTGTTGCCTTTTTAAGAGTCACAGATCTTTTAGAGAAACCTATAAAGGCTACCAATCTTCTCCACAAAAGCATTTTATATATATGCATATGTTATGAAAAATAAGTTGACATGTTTTATAAGATCACAAAAACTTTTAATCTGTATATTGTTAATGCCATAAAAATATCAAAATATTATATAATGTTTAAATATAATTCACACACATACACACACACACACACACACACACACACACACACACACACACACCCTCTCCATACTTCATAATAAAGAAAGCCCCCAAAACCCAAGGTGAAAGAAAAGCATTTAGCCAAAGAAATAAATAAAAGATTGATAGTTGTCATGAAATTTTAAAGTCCAATATCTTCTTTTAAGTCCTCATAACATATTTACTATAAATAGGGATGAAGTTGTTTAAGTTTGGCTTTTCTTGACAAACCAACTCTGATTGGACGACTGCA